TTGTAGGTCTCGTTTTTATGTTGGTGAAAGGGTTAATTGTTGAGCAAAGGTGAAATATTGCAACTTAAAATTGTATTCTAGCTGCCGCTTAGCTATTTTTCCATTGTGTAATCTATATTTTTGTTAAATAATATTTTTGTCTCATTTTTGTCTCTTTCTGGAATTATCTGACAGTATTTTATCCAAATGATGAAATATTAAATTATGTGCTCGAATTTGTATTATTCATTTTTCCTTTTGAGCAGAATGAATCAGATTATAATGGAGGGAGTTGTGGAAGGATAGTAAACATGTTGACAGGACACTTGGAGAATAAGTAGAGATTATGGATGAATTAACTAACTAACGAATGCGGAAATATTGATGCCATTTTGAAGAGAAAGTGCAAAGAAAATGAGCAGTTTTCTGAAACGAGGTTGTTCCCCTCACCCGTGTCTGTCTGGCTTGTCTCAGAGCTTCGTTGCTGTATAACATGCTGTAGGGGAGTAACCAAACAGCACCACTAATCCCCCCTGTCCTTTGGGGCAGTCCCCTGCCAGGATATCCACTCTTTCTACTTTCTCAGGACGAATATCTATCAACCAAAAGAAATATTTCCCCCCTTTTTTCTGCTATCAACATTTTTGCTATTTTTATACCTGCTCCCTGACAAGCATGATATCTGTTTTTACAAATCAGCATTTGTAGCTTTTAATAAATTGTCTGCTGATGTCGTTCTGTTTCAAATTTTCTTTCCTAAGTCTCACATCTTTTCTTTGTGCGCTTTATTCAGCAGTATTACCGGTATACCTCTTTATTTCCACTCCTTTATTACACTTCTGCTTCTTGTTCAATTCTTATTATCCTGTGGATGACTGAATACTGTATCCATACTTTGTGTTTACCTGAAATACCATTTTTTATTTTAGGACAGGAATGCTCTATGCTTTCTCAAGTTAAAGTTTATTCATTTTCAGGAAGCACATGAACTTTTGCTACTCAATATCAAGTAGTTATAGTTGGTTGTAAGTAAGCAGCTAGGGGACTGGTGACTTTGAGTCCTCTCCAAAGGGCACTAGCGCATCAACTTGGTTTCGAACCCGGAACCTCCCAGTAAAGAGACCACTGCTCTACCACCGAGCCATCACGTCTCTGTTATTGAACCCACCATTTTTTAAACTTTAAATTGAAAAATGGAATAGCTGTACCAGGAAAAAATGTTTGGCTTATTTACCAACGGTGCCGCAAGGGAAAGCAAACATGTTCCCCCGGGGAGGCCAGGCGATATGATGCCATGTAACTGATTGACCTCCAGGGATGTTTGTGTGCTGTATGGGCCATTTCACTTGCCACCTCCACGCTCAAGTTCACTACCATCAACAAAACTAACGGTACCAACCAGAGCTAGGAAATGTATGCCCTGTCACATTGCTTCTAGCTGCCTTGGTATTCAGGCATTATTTAGGACTCCTTTCTGTTCTGTCACCGTCCCCATCTCGAGAGCCCCCCCCCCCCTCCCTTATGCACCATCTCCAATCTCTTCCTGAGATCCAAAAAGATGTTCACTCGTGGAATTCTTTAAATAATTTAGGCATTTAGAACCCCTTTTTGTCACCGTCCCCATCTCGAGAGCCCCCCCCCTCCCTCCCTCCCTTATACACCATCTCCAATCTCTTCCTGAGAGCCAAAAACATGTTCACTCATATAATTCTATATCCAATTCATGCCATTATGCCTTTCATCAGATGTTATTTGTTAACTGCCCTCCCAGTCTTCTCAGAAGATCCTCTTCTTTGTTTTGGGAAGTGATGATGATGGAATTGGGAAATATGGCCTACTGTTTGTGATACTACCACCACCACCACTACCATTAACCTACAAGCTCCATAACTATCATCATCAACTGTACTATTGATAACTTTGTTTAATAACCATCATGATCATATTCATCACCATCACTATTCCATCACCATTATTAAAGATGACATAATATTACGTACTGCTAGTTTAGAAAATGGGAGATAGTTTTGAATGTCTGCATAGTGCCCCCAAGTTTTATTAGATGGCGTCAAGACAGTTTTGCGAAAAGGGCACGTGCCCTTGAATTCAACTAAGCTTTTGAATCAAATTCTCCTCAATAAGATACCGTTGTTATCTCACTATAAATCCAGAATGCCAAATAATTCAAAGAGGTTTGTGAACTGGGGTAAACTCTAAATGCGCCTGTTTGGCTGGCTGCCGTGATAATTTAACCTACGATCAATTGCATATTTAAACATTGTCTAAATACAAATCAGTTTGAATTACCCATTCAGCCTGTTATTTCCAGGTGTACTTTCTCTATTTCTCAAAAAGATCTTTTGTCAGTCTTGTACAACAGTCTTGTACAACAGACTTTGTTCTTCTATATTGCAAATTTCAGTAAAACAAAAAAATGCATCGCAGTCAGTATCAAACTTAGAAAGCAGATGGTAAGATTAATTATTTGAAGCAGGTTGAATTTATCAAAGAAATGAGTCAATCCAATTTTAAAACATGAACATGACATAATTGATTTATGAAAATGTTTCTTAAAGTAGACTAGTCTCTTCTCGAGTCCATGGGAAGGTATCCAAATAGTGGTCTAAACTGCCTCTAGGGAGCAGCACCCTGCTTAGGTCATAGGTCAAAGCAGCGGTCATCTGTCTACACCTAGCATAAGGATGGACTTGGCCTGTCAGATATTATTGTCTTCATTCAAAGTCCAAGCCAGAGATATGAGTCGGATAGAGAATGCAAAAAGTGAGAAATCCTTAGTATCTTAAAGATACGATATGATTGATGCTGGAGGATCATGTTTTAGTCGTTCCTTTCAGTCTAGATGAAGTTAGACTATGAGAAGGTAAAGAGTAATGAGGAAGGGATAGGTTAAGAGAAGATTTGATGGAAGAGAAGTTGAAGGAGAACTGGAATTGAAACAAAAAGGAGGCAAAGAAAGGGACAAAACACACTTGAAGGGAGAGGAAAAATGGTGAAGATGCATCATTTTTGTCCCCAAAATATTTAGGTACAATTGGATGGTTTCGTGCAAGAAGGCAGAAAATTCAGATAATTTTCATAAATCTTGACAAAAACGGGGCACTGTAGAATTATTACCTCGGTGGCTCCATCCAGCACACAGTCTGTGATGTATTAGATGCATGTTTTCACTTCCGAGCTCCTAATCCCGCAGAAATAGATCTGAAACCAATCAATTTTCATCTTGTAGGCCCGAGGATTGTCTATTTGTTCAGTTGTAGGTGTGAGATTCTGAGAGGGGAGTGTTTATGCCCCCATCTGACTTGTGATGTTGTCTACCGGTAGCTAGTCCAGACTTCTGGGTCAGGGCGTTGATTTCTGGAAACGGGGGTTCAAGGATTTCATCTGCATGGCTCTGTCAAAAGATGATGTCATTTTCTGAGCGATGGGTGGATGTTAACTCATATCACTTTGTATAGAGTTAAAGCCCTTCTGCCTCTCTGCGGATGATATGATAGTAGAATAGCTGAAGAGAGAGAGAGAGAGAGAGAGAGAGAGAGAAAGAGAGAGAGAGAGAAGAGAGAGAGAGGGGGAGAGAGAGAGAGAGATGCACAGATGGGTAGAGAGACCAACTGACAGGTGAATGGATAGAAAGATAGATAGAGAACATGTAGAATGTAAGGAGCGAAAGTAATTAGATAGAGGATTCTTTAAAGAAAAAAATGAATTTTATTGGGGAGTGGAGATTTGATGACAAAGGGGAGGGAGGAGAAACACCAAAAGTGGGGTAAAAAGGACTGAAAATGAAGATAAATGGAGGCGCGTGAGGACAAACGGTCCAAATGACTGAAACCTTGGGAGTTATACAAAAATCTTCATTTACAACATGTCAAGAGTAATATGCAGTTTAGGGGAAGGGGTGGGATGGGGTAGGCGTAGGGGCACTGTGCATTCGTTATCTATTCCCATCTATTCCCATCTATTCCCAGCATACATGAATTGGATAAAGCAAGAAATATTCAGAGCAGAATGTCAAGAGGTACCAGCAGATGACATGTTTCTTCTGACCTGAAGTCAAACCATATTTGATAAAGATGAAGAATGGATGTGGCACTGACTTCTCCCTCTAACCAATCAGCGGTGGAACATTCCGCCTCTTGAGAAATGAAACGCGAGGCAGTTTGTCCCGAATCATTTGCTCTCTGTGGGTCACTTTCTCAGGAGGAGTTGCTTTGTTGCAATGTGTAATTAAAGCCCTTTCAATTATAATGTCTCTCTTTTCTGCATGTTTTCATGTCATGTGGGGGAAATCAAAGGTTGCGTCTGCTGTCTGATGCTATTAAATGTGAGATGCATAATGTGTAAACATTGCATTCCTGATACACCACAGACTTGCAGATATGATACCTCAGTAGAGTCATCAGGCCAACATATTGGTGTTCAATGATCACTTACTTTGTAATCCAAGGCATATGTTAACAGAAAATATAATCTTCAATAAAAAGATAATGTAATTAGTAACCCGCTGTTGCTGCCATTACTGTATAAAATAGCAAGCATATTATACAATGTTATTTTTGTGTATATTTGTAGTTAATAACAAATATTTATTGTTTGTGCATGTTATACTTGCCATGAATTTTAATGCACTTTACATTTATATTTTGCATTTTTGAATATTATTGGGTTGTAATATGGTTGTTTATGAAATGAATCATATAAGAAAAGAAACGAAAATGTAAAGCTCGCTTGTAACATTTGGAGAATTTCAATTTGTGTATTCTTCACTCTGCCTTGTTACTTTATATGTTGTGTTTGTCTATGTGTGAACATTTTGTATACCCTACCACTTAAACAATCTATTTGTGTTTATTATGCTAGACAATGAGCATGCACCAGGGTTAAAATATTTATGCTTCTTTGTAACGATTGAATAAAGATGAAACATACAATTCTTCTAGAATTTTGAATGAAGGATAGAGATGGAGTAACAAACCTCTCTCTTTTTTCTTGTATTTCTACAGACACAGAAGAGGATGAAACTGCTTCACAACCACAACGATGGTGAAAAATCACCGCACATGGAACATTCTCCCATCACACCAGAACAGGTAAGGTATCCGACGAGAAACTAAAGACATTCAAGCGTTTTTCTCAGGTCTATCCACCTCCTACAGCAAAAATTGAAAAGTTTTGAGGCTACTTATAAATTATAACCTTGTTTGCTTTGACCTACCCCCTCCCACAACTAAAACTAAAAAGTTTGGAGGTTAATCACAACCCTTTTCTCTGACCTATCCCTCCCACAAAAAAAAATTGGCTAACCAACCACCTCCCCCAACCAAATTTTTCATTTTGGGAGACCCACTGACATACAACTTTTTTCTCTATGTATTTCATCAAACTAACCTCCATTCTACACAGCCACTGACTGATTTGAGAATGAACACATGCATTAATACTTGCATGTTTCCAGGCTTTAACTGTCAGAAGAACATTAAATTGTACCGCATCTGCTGAGAGCCACAGTATTTCTAAATATATGATCTAATGTAATGCCCTTCTGGCTCTCAGTAGAACAGAACATTGATTAATATAATGATGTTAGTGAGGTCATGAAATTGCCTGTTTAAAGCCAAAAGGGTGTTAAATCTTTTATATGATACTGCCTTTCTGGTTCTTGGTAGAATATTCAAAGCCTGGAATCCAGTGTGATTAGTGGCCATGATGTAGTCTGCTCAGAACCACCAAAAGGACATTAAATCATTAAACACAGATTTGTAACGTCCTTCTGGCTCTCGTCAGGTGATTGACTCAATATGAAATTATGATTTTCATTCCTGGGATGATGTTAGTGTGGCCATGGTGAGAAAGAGTTGTGTGAAGTGTGTCTGTGCCTAGGGGTGGAGGAAGTATAACCATGAGAGTGGGAAGAGGGAACAATATTATGACAGCCATATATCCTACAGGAACACAGGCAGAGGGGATGGACAGGTGAAATGGAGGATGGGTGGAACATGGGAGGGGAAGAGGGAGAGAGAGAGAGAGAGGATGAGAGACAGACACATACAGACAGACAGACATACACGTAGGACAAAGACAGGCAGCATGAGAGGAAGAGAGAGAGAGAAAGAGAGAGGAGAGAGAGAGAAGGAGAGAGAGAGAGGAGAGAGAGAGAAGGAGAGAGAAGGAGAGAGAGAGAGAAGGAGAGAAAAGTACACAAGTAGAGAAAGAGAAAGAGGGAGAGACCAAGATATTCTGAGAGGGAATGAGAGAAGGGTGAACGAATCAAGAAAAGGTGAATAATCTACATATAGAAAGAAAAATATAGTTATTAAAGAGCAGGTAAATCTATATAAAATAAAGAGGGGAGGAAGTAAAGGAGGAAAAATTGATAACATACATGTAATGAGAAAGAAGAAATAAAGTGAAGTATAGAGCAATGGAAATAACAGGTAGTAATGTACCATGAAATAAATATTCTTCTCAAGATTTAAAGAAGAGACCAATTTGCACTCATTCAGACAGAGACAGAAAATTAAATGGAAGTCAATATTACACATTTTAAAAAACTGTCAAAAACAGAAACAACATAATTGTTTCTGGTTAATTTCCTTATGAGTAGATATTTAATATGGTAGAGAGATGTTCAACGCAGTCTGAAGACCACCATAGTACCCCAGGGAGACAATTTCTCCATTCTCAATTCTCTTAAATCTCATATTGCTACCAGTTACACTGGTCCATTGTGACCCAAATATTTGATCTGGTGCTCTATTTAATATTCAATGTGCTCCCTAAAATTAGGTCAAATATCGCATGGGAATTTGTCAAAACCAGAAGGAGATCAAACTTCACTTTTGATTACAAGTTCCTGTAAAGATTAAACTCAAAGACCATCACAAGATGTATAGAGTTTCCCAAGGCACATATAATGCGAGGGTATATATTAGGATTACAAATGAAAGTATGAATATAATTGTCAATTCATCTAATATTTACTATCCTTGGATGTGAGACTATAGGTCTGATTGAGTGAGTCACCCATAAAATAGAATATCGAGCTTCTGTAAGACCAGAACATTTTCTGTCTGAAATATTACTAAATTTCATGAGAGGTTATATTTGCAAAAAGTTTTCTTTCAAAAAATAATAAGTCACAGCATATTACTTTGCAATTTGTAGAAGTGCTTAGATTTATGTCATGATGTGGTGAGGAATGTAATTTTCTTTGTTTCGACAATTTTGCCTGTATGAGACAATTGACACAATGAACTATGAGGGTCCTTTGCCTGAAGTGTGCATATATCATTTATGCAAAAAGAACATTTAAAGTTACTATCAATGACAACCTTATGAGAGATATTTATAGCTGGTATAATTTTGACCTTTTATGAATGTGATAAGATATTGTAATTAATTTGACATGATGTTCTGTTACTCAGTAGAAGATTATGTCATAGAACTGTATACAAAAAGTGTCATCTAGGACTTTATACTTCTCCATTTCTCAACATCTTTCAGTCAGGCACTGAATAACCATAAGGCTATGTCACAACCTGTGCTCGTTTTTACTTATTTAAATTGAATGAAACAAGAAATGTTTACAATTTACTTCATTCTCCAAGAATAAACTCTTTATCCTTTCACTGATTTACTACCTGATACTAATGAAATGAAACATTGTGGCATTGCTACCACTTCTACCTCCCCCAAATGCTTTCTCGTTCCTGTAATTAATGTATTCATGTCTTCCTTCTTTGACCTTTGACCTCATGCTTCCAGGATGATGAGGATGGTATATGGGCCTAGGGCAGGGCTCCCTCTATACAGCTACCCCAAGTTCCCTCATGCATAAAATATTGGTAAAAAATGATATATTGTATAACTGTATCCTAAGCATGCTTGCACTAAAATACTAATCTTTGATATTGCAGTAACCCTTCTCCAACATGTGCAGAAGTAATTGGTTGAAATTGTTGCCGGTGCACTAACTCTTTCTAGAAACTAAATCTTGATTCAAAGTTGATGCATTCTACTAATTTTTTCACTGGTGTGCATTTAGTTTGATGATGTGCTGCTTGCTAAATCAGTGTGAATATATTTTCCCTAATTTTTGGTTTGTTTGTTTCTTCTTTGTTGTTGATTTTTATATATATTTGTTATTTTGTGTGCATGAATACCTGTAAATAAAGCATTTTGTTGAATAAGCACTTCATCTCTCTATGTATTTTTGCACAACACAGTTATCAGAATTCAATGAGAATCCCAATTTGATGATCTACAAATATTTTTTACTCTCATCCTGTACACAATTTCTTTAAATGACCTAATTGTTTGGCCTTTATCCTTGTTCACTTCTGCTAGTTCCCATGAAAATGAATCCCATCTCAATTATCAGTTGTCAATGAAACAAAATGTGACTGATAAGGGATCAATTTCTTTGTCATTCCCAATTTCAGTACAGATTTGAGTGACTTCTAATAATATGCTTCCAATAAGTATTGGGTAAATGGTCTTGATTCTTCTTTTGTTGTTCTAGAGCACATGGTTTCTGCACATGAAAATAGGTTCTGGTTGCTGTTCCAATAATCTTTGCAAAAAGAAATGTGTGTGTATTTTGTGTTGTTATTTTATTTTGATGTTTGTATATAGTGGGTTGTATAGGATTTTTTTTCTTTTCTTGTGAATATAATATATGCTTGTATATTTTTAACTGTATGAAGATGTGATTATACCAACTATATTAATCTTTGAATAAAATCTTTTCCATGTGTGTCCAATTTCTTCTGAAAGTTAGCAAACCTCCATAAATCAAAGCACTTCTTAATCTTAGAAAGACTTTGCAATCCATTCCTGGCTGTCTGGTTTCTGTTCAATTCATAAGTAAACTGTCTAATTTGCTTTAGAAATTGATATTCCAAATATACAATATTCTATTCTTTTAATTGTATTCTATATTGCTTACTTGTCATGTGTGCGTTATTGTGGTTGGCTATGTGTAAGTTTATAAACCTTTTAATGGCTTGGAATATGGTTTCAGTATATTGCACCCTTCTTTATCACAGCAGTGACAACACTTTGTAAATGTTTCATATTTTCTGTTCAGAGCCAGAAGGGCATTAAAGATAAAGACCAGTTATGGTCATGCGATTGCATTGTGAAAGGAACGTTGTGGAATCGATCAGAAAAGGTTGATCATCTAGCATATAAGAATTTGTGTGTACTGTAAGGTTTTGGAATCATCAACATGATAAGAAATTTGGCCCAGTCTTGGTAAAGTTACAAGCACTGTACACAGAAAGATGTATATGGGACTACGCACACATGCACGACACGTGCGTTATATCTATCAGGTCCAAATAGATATAATAATTTACCAAATATATCAATTAGTAGGCGGTTTCTCGGCAAAATTTGTATGATCACGTATTAGTCAAAACATTCTTTCACATGATTGGTAATAAGAGCTTCCATTTCATTTTTTGAGAAGGGGGCATTTCCAAAACTGGTCTTTACCTTTAACTCTCAATTAAAACATAGAAGTCAATGCCTTCTGGTTCCAAATAGGCAATAAAATTATGTCAATTTGTATTACATGGATGTATTTTTTTGGATACTACAAGGCATTATTGGTGTCATTATAAGAAATTTGATCTGAGATGTTAATCCCCATTAGTACTTAAATGGCCACTAAAGATATTTTTAGAAAGTGCTTTACATAAGACATATATACAGGGTGTTTTTATTTTAAAGCAAATACCATTTATACTTGAAATTAAATTGAAGATATCATGTGTGAAATATTGATTAAACTTCTGTTTTGGAATATATGCTGTAAATAAAATCGTCTCCACTAACTCCAGTAATAGAGGTGGATGTGTTTCTTTTAATGGTGATTTCAGTAACAATCTACTAATTTAATCTGGTCTGTGGTAATTAACTTGTGTTTATAGACTGGTTCTTCCTTTCGACAACTAGTTTCTCTTACTCCTTTAGATGATTATTAGCTGTCTGTTTCCATATGCACCTTGTCTTATTTTTCTATGATGTTCTAGTATGAATATCAATTTTGTTTATCCCCTCTATTCAACATTTTCACCAATGATTATCTACCGTAATCTTTTTTTAACCTCCTTTTAAAAAAAAGCAAAAGCATATGCACGTATACTATATCCCGTACAAATATGTCTTTAAAAAAATGCTTTTTCAAAAAATGCACCCCTTTAATTTTAGAGTCATTGTTTAAATCAAAAGTGGAAACAATTCATTTGGTGACTGTTTCAAACTATCAATCCTTTCTGGCATAGAGGTAAGTTGTGGCTTTAAAATAATTTAAACAAGTAATTAGCCATCCCTGTAGAACCAATTGAATTGTCAATTTTAGCAACTCTATTGGAAATTCATACTGGACAAAGACTTGTCCGACTCCCAAGGTTATCTGCAATATCCAGAACAAAGTTGGCAAGTCCTTTTTTACCTCAATCGCGATGCCAAACCGACATCAAACCGACCGATGCTTGGCCATTGGGGCACATTGTGTTTGGTATGTTGTCAGTCTGATATGGGTTTTGTTCATTTGAATTGGGGTATAAGAAGTTAAATCTTGAGCCATGAAACTATCATAATCCTTTTCACCATCGTCTTTTCAATCTACAGCGTTTTGCAGGACAGTTCCATGGAGGGGTTCATAGCGTGACTCTGTGAAGACTGGACGGCAAGCTTCAGATATTCCTCCAGCTCCAGTGTATAAAGACATATCTAATTTCTTCATGGTCTTAAAAATCAACTTGGATATGGAGCAATACTCATGTAATCAAGTCATACTTTAATGCATTTACCCAGTTTGAAAGTATCATGAACATAATCAAGTCATAGAAGGGAGGATGTGGAACAGTTAATATTCTCTTTCAGAGGAAATATTGCAATATCTTTTAGGCAATCAATGATAAACAGAGAAGCACTCTGCAGAGTGCAAGCGACAAATCTATATTGTTTATTTGGGATTGGAGGTTAGAGCCTTCCATGTGCATATGGTTTGTGAGCAATCTTAACTTGGTGCTTTGTTAATTCAAATTTTATCTAATTCTATATGAAAATATTGAATTTCATATGCCTCATTGACACTTGCCCGCATTTTGGTCCCGCACTGCCCCGCTCTGTTGCGTGCCAATGCGTGCCAATTAGTGACACGCAGGGTCACGTCAAATTTACGAATAGTTCACACGATGCGTAACCACCAGGACACGCATTCGTAGACTATGCGCAAGGCATGCGAAAACTGCGCACGAAGTATGCACAGCCAATGCGCAAATTAGTCGTTAACTAGTCGTGAACATGCGTGCCACTAGGCCATAAGATACGCAGCGGCGCGCACTGGTACGACTAGGCAGCGCATAGGGTGCGCATAGTTCATGAAGTGTTCACGCACGTTGCCAAACAAAATTGTCGTGCCAAAATTTTGAACATTTTGAAAATTCTGTCACGCATTTCACTCACGGCCCGCATCCGCCCGCATCCTCCCGCACGCTACCACGAATACTTCCCGCATTGGCACGCAAGAGTATGTGTCTATGCGCAAACCAAAATGCGGGCAAGTGTCACCGGGGCATTAGAGTACTAGATTATCAGTGCATTCCACACTCTTTTTTTATGAATTTTCTTCTTGATCCGAGTACTTCAAAATTGATACAGTTCTACAAAATGATGTATATTCACTAAATTTTGAATTCTACATTTTCAGGAGGTTTGTAAAGATTGACCTCTTGTTTGTGTAATATATTGTTACTTTCAAAGCATTTTAGTGTCAGTTTTCTGTCTTAGAACTTGGACTTTCCCTGATTTGTGTGAGCTCTTTTATGATTGTTTGCACTTACGTGAAGTGGCATGATGAGGAAAATATTATTGAATTTTAAAAAAGTTCAATGCCTGCCCCCTCCCCCCTGCATAACAGGGGGATAAAGCAGAAAGCTATGTTGAAAAGATGTCAAAACATTAATTTTTGTTCTTCATTAAAATGAAAGTCTTACCATGAAATAATTACATCATGTACAATTCTTTTCTTATATTGTAAATTCACAATTTATTGGATACATTTAAACATTTTCTCTGTCTCACTTGTCTCATTTAGTTAGTAAATATTGATTTTCATTATCTGACTTATTTAGGAAAGAAAAGGAAATGAGCTAAGTTAAGAATATATTCAGTAAATAACGGCCACCATCCTGAGACTTGAGACAAATGTAGCTGCACAAAGAGGGGAAAAAAGGGGGCAGGATGTTATCTTTGGGTCTGGAACTGACATTTTTTCTTCGCTAAATATCAACCTGCACCCACTTCGCATATCACGGTCACACCTACATATGGGCTCCTTGGTATCTATCCCAAATATGGAAATTAACATTGACCCTTGACCTCACCCTTGACCCTCTGACATTGAATTCGCACCTGTGTAAGGTTTTATGACGGTTGATGTGCAAGTGTCATTTTACCAAGGCACGTCATGATCACACGAGGGAGGGAGTTGATATATCGTCTGCTTCAAAAGGGAGATCGTTATATTTAAACAGTGAAGTGGGATGCAGATTTACAGACTACTTCATTGTTCATAGCTCATTTAGATGTATTTTTAGCAATCATGTATAGCATGGGGACCTTCTCCTGACAATATTACAAAGACTCTTTGTCTAATTCTCACAACCAATGTCAATTTCTTACATTTTTTCCGACTGAACAAACCAGCAACAATTTATTTGTCAACATGACCAGCAAATGAGATCTGGTATTGGTTACTATTACAAAAGCATGGTTATAGATAGCTTTTTCAAACATTTTTTTTTTTTTTGCTCTTTAACTGATTTAATGACATATTTCAACACAATGCTTCCCACCAACTTTTATTTGTTGTTTATCCCATTGTAGGAAGATAGGGTTTGAAGTAGATATTTTTACACGCAAGCTGCATTGAAAGTGCATTGGAGGGACATCCCATGATAGTTGATACTTTCTATGTTTGTGCCTCATTTTTCTCCTTGTATTTTCTGATATCTCAGGTATTGCGCTTTTTAAGAGTGGAATAATTGTTCTCGTCTTTAATGATTCCTAGATTAGCTAAAGGTAGAATAGACAGAGGCAGATAAATAGATATGAAACAAATAAGTACATATTTTTGGCATCTAGAAGAAATTATAGAAGATTTTTTTTTTTTTAATAAATATTTTAAATCAAATTTAGATGTCGATTTATTAGAGAAGGAATGCTTCTTTCTTGTCCATTCTTGTGATTTATTATCATGAAAAGAAATCAACTCTAAATGATTCAAATCTTGCCATTCTGTTTCTATCTTTACAATTCTTGAAATGTTCATTAAGAAAGCTTATACTGTGAAATTATAGGTCATTTTTATTAGCATGCAGAAGATGTATATAATGTAAAAAAAATTGTGTATGATGTATATGCATGGTCTTCTTGACTTCTGAAGATTTGTATAAAAAACAATTGTTTATTGCATTCCATACTCACTCATATTCTAATCAATTCTTATATCACAATTATATCATTTGAATAGCTCAGCTTACATTAAAACTTAACAGTCAATTCATTAGATAGAAAATCAAAAGAGAGAAGGGAAATTTTAATTTGTATATTTTAGTTTCTGCTGCATCTTATTTTCGCTTTCTTTTTTGCTGCATGTTTAAGCATTGACTTGTTAGGATATATGTAAGAGCAGGTGTGTTTAGAGATTTGCACACTATGCAATTGAACTATGACCTAATTTAGGCAAAGTCTCGCCTGAACAGACGATTTTTGAGCTAATAATTACAATAGAGGAAACAATAACTGAAATGTTGGTATTTGAAATAAGCAAAAATATAACGTAATCTAACCCTTAATTATGGTGCTGTACAATTTTGCTGAAGAGATAAGGGTACACGAAAAACTTGAATTTAGAAATATTGAATGCTGTATTCATATCTGTGTCGGGTAGCAGTATACCAATTGTCTTTATGAGTTATGTACACATTTTGTATTAGGTATATGAGTCTTGTGACAAACGACATTGTCTCATTACATATCATTTTGAGGAAAAATGCATTAATTCTCTTGATGGATTTATCCATTCTGTATTAATATATCAATTTTGTTGCTTATTACATATGCAGCAATACTAGAGCGTGCCCTATTATGTATATTCATGTATATAGATATATCTCTAATAAATTTGACATGGAAAAGAAGCATTGACTATCACACTTTGACAAATCAGTATTTGAAGTTACTGATCTGCACATACGTTTTTTGAATTAGTGAATTTCCATGCAATAATAATAATATCTGAGCTGACAAATGTAATCGAGGCTAAAGGAAAAGAGCAGTGCACTTTGGAATAATTATATACAGAAGCAGGGCATAAGGTGTATAGTTGATGCCTTTTTGTTTCTAAATCTCAAGAGATGGTAGATTTTATATTACCATCATTGTTGGTACCAGTTACAGTTATGTAATATTTACCATGTCGATCTTGTAGCAGAAAGAGACAGTGTCTTGCTAAATAATTGTGCCACACATACAGTCATATTTGTTTATTAAATTAATATTCATTATTTGTGCCATTCTTTCAGAGTGTTATCTTTATCAATTTTATTTTGAATACCTGGATAAAACAGAGGAAAGAGGTATTGCGAACTGAAGAAATTTTGCGAAATTGCGTGCTATTCCTGAATATTTAAATTTCTAGCGAGAAATGATATTGTTGCCTTCATACAGTGTAATATATATAAAGAGATACAGTGGTTATATTGACAGTTTGTGCAAGAATGAGTGGTAGCACGTAAGACATTGAGGAAAGTTTTTTTTTTTCAAATTCAAAGAAGTACTTGTTAGTATTTAGTTGGTAATTGGTAGTCTTATTTATCTTGATCATTAGATATATTTATTCACTCATCTGTACAAATTGTATATTTGATATTGATTATAATTATATTACTGTACTATAATATTGTTGAACTTTGCTTTTATTTCGATGAGTACCTTTGTGTTTGGCTTACAGTACTTATGATTATATTATTGAAATTGTGAGGGGTTTCACAATATCTTTTTTTTTAATGGCGATTTGAGGTGCAAATTCGCCATGGGCATGACAATTTGGCAAATTTCATTGTTTCTTTTTGTTTTGTTTTATAACTGTCAATACTGTTGTGAATTGAAACATTTTTATCAATGACTGAATTTTTATCATGTAAATGGAATAGAACTTTTACCTTCCAAATATGTTCTCTATTGTCAAGGAACACTTGATGAACATTGTTTAATGTTTAGAATCTTGTTCGATTTTGAATGTATTATGCATCAGCCAAATTATATGTTTGTTTGTATGTCACAATGTTTTGTGTCTATAAACCTTCCCACTCATATTTGTAATTTAGTGTACATGTTCCGAACCATTTCTTTTAAATTATATCACATTCACATGCACTTCAAAATTATTTTTAAAAATCTAAGGAAAGTTGCTGGTAACTGTAATGTTACGAATATCTCTTAAACCAGAAATGTAATTGATAGTAATGTTTTGACTAAAGTTATAAAAGGTACTGATATGTTAAACTATAAATAATAAGGGAAATGACTTTCAAAGTGAGAAAACTTCATAATGAATTGTATTTTCATTTCTTTTATGTCGGAAAATAAATAAATTTTCCAACCACCCTTATGATACTGAAATTTTAAAAGATAGATAATGAACAAATCAAAACCATGAAATTTTATAGCAAAAAGTCCAATTTTTATGTACAGAAGATTTTTCTGTAGGAATTTATTTCGCTAGCTTTATGTTTCCTTCTTTCAAATATGGTCATGGCCAAAATAATAGGAAACTATACTTCTACCGTTCATTTGAAATTTGAAATATAATATTATACATGTTAAAATTGTCGTCTAACACATTTGTGCACAAATCAATATGTCATACAATAAAAATGAATGTATAAAAATATTAAATTGATTGTTTGATGTGTTCATTGACATTGTGTTGTACTCTGTGGAAGATTGGTATTGATGAGTAATCTAAAGTTATTCATTTATTAAAGATGCAGGTGAAAGATAGGCGAACAAAGTAGGAAAAGTAGGAATATTGGTGTTAAAAAAAGATTGTAATAGATTGAATGAGAGAAAAAACAGAGAGAGGAGCTTATACATGTGTGAGACCTGATAGAAATATGACAATGATTTGAAAGTAATAACTCGAACTAGAGCACGGAAGATTAAAGACTGATGGTAAAAGTTTCTTACTGTATACTTTGATATAAAAAGAAACAAAACAGAAACAAAACTGCCATTCTTACGGTATACAATTAAAATTGCATCACACCCGTATACGAGTGGCTGTCGAAGCCCTGTAATGTATGTTGTTTATGGCTATATCGCCGCTGCTTAGTTGTGTTTATTAAGGGCATCTGTCAGCTTTCTCGCGCACTTGTGTTATTCTTGACACAATTTGCTTGACATTTATTTCAAACAAACGTTCACAGTGACAAATAATTCGCAGGAATGAGTGTCAGAGGAAATGAATTTATTGAGATGATTATGATAACTCTCCACCTCTCTATCTCTCTACTTGTCATCCTTCTCTCTCCCTTTCCGTTGCTCTTTATCTCTTTGGACTGTGTCTCGCCCACCATTCTATTCTCCTCTCGCGCGCTCTTTCTCACCAACCCTCTCTTTGATATCGTCACACCGTCTTCCTCCCAACTCCCTC